CATTCTGACCAATAGGATAAGCGAATTCTATCATTTTTTGTAATTGTTTAATAAAATTATATGAAAAATCCATTTCACATACATTGCGTGAATTAGTTCCCTCTTCAAGTGGGTTTGTGTCATTTCTTTATGGGTACGTAGTTCAATTTATCTCTATTCACGGATCTTAAAATGTAACCATTCTCACAAAATATAATGTAAAACTATACGAATAAGAAGAAAAAAAACACACAACCAAATGCTAATAGCTCAATTGATAAAGATTTTTAATAAAAATTTAGAAATCGCTGCTTGAGACGAAATCATATAACTTGTTCTGGTTTCGGACATGAATGTATTGGTTTCGGTCCATAATCTCGTTTGATTATTCAAAAAAAACACAAAAAAATACGTTTCGTTGCATAAAAGATACATGCGTCGTCCATCGCATTATGGTAAGTATAATATTTATAAATTTAACCCTTTACGACGGTGATTGGAGCGGACACCATACATTGTCAAACTAGTTAATCATTGGTTACATTCGATACTTAATTGATTAACGTGTATCACGTGAATCATGACTTAGATTGTAATAATGACAATAATAATCAAATATTTTTTTTTAAAAAAAAACTGTCAAATCTTATAAGCTGGCTATCAAACCACTGACCTACATATGCTATAGAAAAAGCATAACACTAGAGAAACGAGGATTTATAACAATAATAATGGAGATTGTGACTCGTCCAATAATATTGTTCGAGGAATTTACAATTTATTTGTTGTGAAAATATTTTTGTTTACAAGAGAGTTTAATTTGCACCAACTTAGAAGAATTTATGTGTTTTTTTTTTATTAATCAGCCTTATGGTGTAATTAATTAATCTCCCTTGTGCAAAGGCAGCAAACCTGCATAAACAAAAACAATAACATCTAAATATAATAATTATTTTATGTCATTATAACATTGTTATTTTAAGTGTGCATTTTTCAGCACATGTAATTATAAAAATGTTTAATTGACTTTGATTAAGATTTAATTACTATGTTTATGTTCATACCTTGTTTTGCTCTAACCAAACTTTAATGCATTCCTTGTGATAGATATGAGCACATGGCAGAGTCGATAGCGTATCTTCTTTCTTGAGTTCAATTAAACATATTGGACACCTTCAATATTTTTACAAACCGAATCAAATTCCCAATTTAAACCGGAAACTTATGTATATGACATTGAACAAAGATAGCAAAATTATATCCTATATATCACCTAAAAATGCATTTTAATTTTGCTTCGTAAAATGTTAATATAATCGTTTTCGATATTATTATTATAATTATTACTATATATATAAGTACATTTTTCTGTTTAGTTGCAAAACTATTCATACATATAACGTCGAGAGAAAAAAAAGATTATAATCTTACTGAGTTTTTTCGGATACAAGACTTTTTATTTTAGATTTGTTGATTTTATGACTTAGTATTTGGCTAATCCTCCTCTCCGATAATCCTTTGTTGACCGATCCAATCGATTCTCCTAATTGATTCAGTTGCTGAAACATTCAAAACCATGGTTAAACCATCTTATATCATTAGTTTTAATCTATTTATGAATCATGCTTTTTTTATATATATTAACATATCACTATCATAATTGTCTATATATACCTCATAGCTCATGGTATCAGTATCGATATCACCATGATCAGAAGGAAGAGCATGAAAACTGTGAGATGCTGAGGAACTGCCAACATGATGACTTTGTTGATGTTGGGATCTTGAACTGTTCACTACAGATTAAAAGTGAAATGTTTCTAAATACGTTT